CTTGTGCACATTGGTAGGAATGTAACATGGTGCAGCCACTGTAGGAAACAGTACGGCAGTTCCTCATATAATTCAAAATAGAATTACCCCATATGACCTAGCAATTCCAATTCTGGGTATACACCCCAAATAACTGAAAGAAGGGTCCTGAAGCATTTGTACACTCATGTTTACAGCAGCACTGTTCACAGTAGATAATGTATGGAAACAACTCAAGAGTTCACTGATGGAGACACAAATTGGGATTCAGCCACATGATGAGTAGTATTTAGCCTTACAAAGGAAGGAAATTCTGCAACATGCCACAACATGGATAAACCTTGAGGACATTATGCTAAGTGAAATAAGCCAGGCACAAAAAGACAAATACTGTACAATTCTACGTATATGAGGTACTTCGAGTAGTCACAATCATAAAGACAGAAAGCAGAATGATGGGTGCCCAGGGGTGGGGGAAAGGGGAGTTACTGTTTAATGGGTTAAAAACTTCCAATTTTACAAGATGAGAAGAGTTATGGAGGTGAATGATAGTTGCACAACATTATAAATCTATTTAATACCACAGAATTCTACACTTAAAAATGGTTAAGATTGTAAATTTTATGTTATAGGTATTTTACCACAATAAACAAATCCTTTCAAAAAGTAAAGCAATGAACGAAGATATACCAAAAGAAAACTGGAGGAGCTATATTAATTTCAGGCAGAGCAGGCTTCAGAGCAAGGGAAGCTACCAGTGGTGCTGAGGAGCATTACATAATGATAAAGGGTCAATTCTCCAAGAAGCAGTAACAATCCTCAATGTGTGTGCCGCTAACGACAGAGCATCAAACTTTATAGGGCAAAAGCTGATAGAACTGTGCAAGGAAAAACCAATGAATCCAGTATCACGGTGGAAGTCTCCAACAGCCCTCTATCAGAAATGAACAGGCCGGGCGCGGTGGCTCACACCTATAATCCCAGCACTTTGGGAGCCCGACACGGGTGGATCACGAGGTCAAGAGATCGAGACCATCCTGGTCAACATGGTGAAACCCCATCTCTACTAAAAATACAAAAATTAGCTGGGCATGGTGGCGCAGGCCTGTAGTCCCAGCTACTCAGCAGGCTGAGGCAGGAGAATTGCTTGAACCCAGGACATGGAGGTTGCGGTGAGCCAAGATCGCGCCATTGTACTCCAGCCTGGGTAACAAGAGGGAAACTCCGTCTCAAAAACAAAACAAAACAAAACAAAACAAAAAAAAACAAAACAACAGACTGGGCGGGCAGAGAATCAGAACATAGTTACTGACTGATAGGACTCAACAGCACCATCAGTCAACTGGACATCATGAACATCTGAAGACCACTTCACACAACAACAGAACACATACTCCTCTGAAGCTCACATGGAACATTCACCAAGACAGAAATTCTGGGCCATAAGCAAACCTTAATAAACTCAAAAAAACAGAAATCATACACTGTATACTTTTAGATCACAATAGAATATAAGTAGAAATTAGTGACAAAACAGTAGTTGTGAGATCCCGAAATATTTGGAAATTAAATTCCCTGGCACTTACAGTTTTTATTTTATTTTATATAGTATTCCATTACTGTATTTTTTATCAGCAATTACTTTGAACTTTTAAATAACTTCTACTCAATATATAAATTCAGTATGTCACTGGTATGAAAAAACCTGAAAATAGAAATTAATTAGTCTTCAAGTTTTTTTCATTTCAAGAATTTTTTTTTTTTTTAGAAACAGGGTTTCACTACGTCATCCAGGCTGGTCTTGAACGCCCAGGCTCAAGCAATCCTCCCACCTCAGCCTCTCAAAATGCTGGGATTACAGCCGTGAGCTACCATGACAGGCCAGAAAATAAATTTTTCATAGTATTCATGCTAAACATTTTAGGTACTAAATATTTACCCACAATTCCGAAGATACGAATTAAAAGAATTACAACCACAACGGCACAATGTCAAAGGCAACAACTGTGACTGCAGCACAGCAGAAGCTCACTAAGGCCCAGCAGTGCAGAAGCAAAGGCAGACACAGCGGCAGGTCAGAAGCTCCCTAAGGCCCAGCAGTGCAGGAGCAAAGGCAGACACAGCGGCAGGTCGGAAGCTCCCTAAGGCCCAGCAGTGCAGAAGCAAAGGCAGACACAGCGGCAGGTCAGAAGCTCCCTAAGGCCCAGCAGTGCAGGCGCAAAGGCAGACACAGCGGCAGGTCGGAAGCGTGCAAGGCCCCTCCACATTCAGCACCCGCCTTCTGCCTCCCAACTACATTCCAAACAATCCTGTTGATCATCTCTAAGAAACTTCCTCTAATGTCACTGGAATGTGTGCTATTCTGATACAGCTTGTTTGCTTTCTGAAGGTGTATTCCTTCAGGTCTGTTAACACATTATGCATTTAGACACAGATGTAGCTGCAGCATCCAACTAGGTCAAACTAACTCAACACAAACTAATCTTTTAAGATCTGGTAAGTGACAATGCAAGTTTGTTTACAGAAACAAACATTTTCATATCAGATGAAAATGAAATATTTTGATAATTGTACCTTATGTTTCCATATAAAAATGGCCACCACCTAATATATTTTAAATGAATCAGTGAACAGTCTTCAGTTTGCTAAAGTGGTAGAAATAATGTTTAGTTATAAATTCCTAAATTTCCTATACGACCTCTACCACATATGGCTTGACCTCCATATTTGCCTATCTATCCATAAATCTTTCCAATTTTCTGTAAGATTAAAGTTTAACAAGTATCAAAAGAACAGATATTAGATACAAATGATGCTCCTAAAATAGGTATTTCTTCTTTTACCCATATATAGACCTCTAATTTCTTGAGAAAAGGCCAAAAGCCAGGGAAAAGAATCAGTTTTTAACCAAAGGGTCCCCACAGTCTTTAGTAACAATCAATTTTAATATTTTACTTGAGTACTTTTAGGAACTAATTCTTAAATAGCTTCCACCAACAAAAATATGTAACAGAATATTGTTTTTTTTTTTTTTTTTGAGATGGAGTTTCTCTCTTGTTACCCAGGCTGGAGTGCAATGGCGTGATCTCGGCTCACCGCAACCTCCGCCTCCCGGGTTCAGGCAATTCTCCTGCCCCAGCCTCCTGAGTAGCTGGGATTACAGGCACATGCCACCATGCCCAGCTAATTTTTTGTATTTTTAGTAGAGACGGAGTTTCACCATGTTGACCAGGATAGTCTCGACCTCTTGACCTCGTGATCCACCTGCCTCGGCTTCCCACAGTGCTGGGATTACAGGCTTGAGCCACCGCGCCCGGCCTATAACAGAATATTCTATAACCTTTTCTTGGAACTAGGTAATAGAGCTCTATTCAGGCAACAACAGGGAATGGAAAACTTTCTAACTTTACACATGCACCCAGAGAAAATCAGACTACAAACCAGGCAGACCATGAAGATCGCGTGGCTCTGATTACATACTTGAAAAATGTTATTAAAAAAGCATTCTATTATTAAGATATTATTACATGTTCAAATTGAGCAATATTCAATCTAACAAAATTTAAGCATGAATTTGGATGGTTGTGCCAAGTAATTATAATAGATGTGACAAACTTATTATACTCTATTCTAAACCTGTGTCTGTTAATCTTTCAAATACACTTCTCCCCAGCAAAGGGACAACAAACCTCACTTACGGACTACATGTACCCCACTTCATAGTGACCCCTAGTGGGGAGAAAACACACATGTAGTCTGGAAAAAAATCATTCATTCCATGTCATGTCCTCCTCCATTTCTGTTCCAACTGAAAATCATTGTTTTAAATAATAAATTAGAGTTTGGAATAAATTCTACTTTTAAAAAATTTTCTAAGGATATGTACTCTTTTTTTTTTTTGAGATGAAGTTTCACTCCTGTTGCCCAGGCTGGAGTGCAATGGCACAATCTCGGCTCATTGCAACTTCTGCCTCCCAGATTCAAGAGATTCTCCTGCCTCAGCCCATGCGCCACCACCCCTGGCTAATTTTGTATATTTTAGTAGAGATGGGGTTTCTCCATGTTGGTCAGGCTGGTCTTGAACTCTCAACCTCAGGTGATCCGCCCACCTCGGCCTCCCAAAGTGCTGGGATTACAGGTGTGAGCCACCACGCCCGGAAAATTCTATTTTTGATTGATTAGAGCCACACTTGGACAAGAATAACTGGTACAAAGTAAAAAAAAAAAAAAAAAAAATCAGAATTACGGTGAGTCATTCTGGTAAAGGTAAGCTCAAAACAGCTGGGGAGGCAAAGCTATCTAAGGCAAAGCTAAGGTCCAAAGAATGAAACCAGCCTAAAAATTTCACTGTAAAGTCTATGATATTAAATATACACCTGAGGTTCTCTGAGAAGAAATGCATAAAAATCAACTTATTTCTAGATCCTCACTCCACTTCCCAAATGGGCTTTTCACACCTGGTTTCTGGCAGCTTCTCCTGTCTGTGCCCTCCCCTCCCCAGTGCTCCATAACCTGCAGGGTGTTATGATTTTCTGTGGCATCACAATTAGGGCTCCTCCTTTATTTAGGCTTGTGCATTTCTACAAGGCCTTAATTTTCATACTAAAAAAACAGTCATTTTAGACCCTGTAGAGTCCAGCCAGTGTAAGAGGACTCATCTATCACATTAAGAAAAAGGGCAAGTCCCTGGAGGACCACAACTAGTTAACTGAGGTCTTGTGTGAAGTACTCCCTAGGTTTAACCTGTTAGAAATTTCACCTGAAAAATCCTTCTGTTCGATTTCATTCTGAATAAAGGAACTATGACCTTCACAATTGTTTTTAATGACTGTTATAACTGTAAAGGTTCAAAATGACAGTGCTTAAGAGATTATGGTGAAAGGAAACACTTGGCAGGCCTTCCTATCAAGAGCAGACCCTGTCCTATGCAAGTTGCTAATTCACAGATTGCTGTTTGAGTATATACTTATGCAGGATCTCAGTGAAGAGTGCGCTCTCAGACCCTTTCTGCCCCGACTTACCTTACTGTGTGTGAAGGGGGGTGTTGCATACAAGGTAGGGTGGATGAGAGGGCGTGGCAGGTGTGGAACAGTGTGCAAAGGCACATGTCCATGGATGTGGGGGTAAAGGTGCAGTGCAGGGTGTGTGGGCTTCTCTGGACTCATGAACTGATGGCCTGGAGGAAGGGCTCCGGCTGTCATTGCAGATGGTGTCAGTCCAGAAGCTTCTTGTTTACAAACATGACATTCACAAGTGTTTGGAGCTTGTTCAGCCTAAAAGGAAAGAAAAAAAAAAACCTAATTATTTAGTGAAACAAAAAATGGTATGAATTAAAGTCAGTCACATTCTGCCAAGTAGTAAAAAAGCAAATACAAAGGTAGCAGGGCTTTTCCTGACACCCTGAGTTGACCAGGGCCTTCCATGCAAGGGAAAGGAGGGACCCCAAGAGACTGGGACTGAAGGAGATGCACAGAGAGGAAAGGTATACCTCATTCCACAGACAGACTCAGGTAGAGCCACTGGTTCTGCGTCCTATGCCTAACGCAGAAAATTTCACTTCCCACATCTGAGCAGGGACAAGGGAACTGGTGAAGACGATAGAGTAGAGAGGGGATGGCTGTGCTCCACTGGGCTCACACTGCTTCTAAATGGTTACAGATTCTCCAAAACGAAGCAGAGATGGGACTTCCGGTTACGGTGGAGTGAAGAGGTCCGTGGCTCCTTTCCCTCAGAGCAATGTAAAACTGAACACAACTGTCAAAGGCAACCATTCTGAGGCTCTGGAAATCAGCCCAAGAAAAATACTGAGACACATTTATCCACAAAAATCAGCTAGTACTTCAGGGAAGAACAGCAAGTCTGACTTTCTTGTCTGGGACCCTTCCCATCTCCTGCACCTGTACTCCAGCCCTGGCTCAGTCAGCAGTGGGCCCCCGAGTTCTATGACTGCAGGGATACCAGTGCAAACCAACCCTGCTGCCCAAAACAGCAGCCTGGTGAGGCAGTAAAAGCAGTGAACTCAGAAGGGCATGAACAGGGAAGCCTGCAGCTCTGTTGGCTTGAGCCTGAGGGTCCCAGTTGGGGTGAATGGCAGAGGAGACAGAAATCTAATAGGGAGAACCCTGGAATGAGAGTGCCACGGAAGGGCTTCTTAAGCTGTCCACAACTCGCTGGCTGACCAGGAGACCATGGTCCATGCACTGAGAAGATCTCAGGGGCTGGAGGAAGGGGCCAACACAGCCGACTTGGGAACTGGCTGAGTGCATTCACCCCGCAGCCAACAGTGGAGCCCCTGTGGATTCAAGGTGCATGGGCTACCCCTGCACAAATCATCAGCTGGTCAACCAGTCAGGCAGACAGAGGGGAAACCTCTAGAAGTCAAGCTAAAAAGCAGAAGAGAAAACGTGAGCCGAGATGCCTGCAGCCACATAATGTGAGAGATACAGATCCTGCAACTTAAGCTCAGGAAATAACAGAAACAAAGAAACAAACAAAAACAACAAAGGACTCTCAAAGGAAAAAATGAGAATGCAAAATTGTTACATTATTGAAAATGTCTGGTTTTCAACAAAAAATTATGAGACACACAAAGAAAACTATGAACTAGGCCAGGCGCGTGGCTCACACCTATAATCCCAGCACTTTGGGAGGTGGAGTTGGGCAGATCACCTGAGTCCAAGAGTTTGAGACCATGCTGGGCAGTATTACGGCAAAATCCTATCTCTACAAAAAATACAAAAAACTACTCAGGCATGTGGTGTGCCTGTAGTCCCAGCTACTTGGTGGGCTGAGGTGGGAGGACTGTTTGAGCCCAGGAGGACCTAGGGACTTAGAGGCTTGAGGCCTCCAGTGAGCTGTGATCATGCCACTGCACTCCAGTCTGGGTGACGGAGCAAGACCTTATCTGGAAAAAAAGAAGTGTGATCAACATGCAGAAAATAGTCCGACAGTTAACAGTAGTGGGTTCAGATACTAAATTAGCACACAAAGATGTCAAAGCAGCTGTTATAACATGTTCAGAGAATTAAAGGAAAATATGAAAATAAAGACTGAACATATAGAGAACTGCCATTAAAAACACACACACACACACACAAAAACTGTAAAATATAAATTCTAGAGGTGAAGAGCATAATAGCTAAACCAAAATTTCACTAACGGGGCTCAAAAGCAAATTTAAATGGCAGAAAACGCATCTGTGAACTTGAAGGAGAGCAATGGAACTGATCTCTCTAAGAACAAAGAAGAGACAGAGGAAAGCACGCAGACGCGCAGGGGCCTGTGGGAGAGCAGCAAGCACTCCAGCATGTGCAGAAACAAGTCCCAGGGTAGGGGTGAAGAAGAGCATACGAATAACAGCTGGACATTCCAATTCCCAAATGTGATGAGAACATTTATGTACAGATCCAAGAAGCTCAATAAACCCTAACAGGGATGAAAACAAAGAGATACTGAGAGCTGCAGAACTCTGGCACATAATGATCACCTCAAGTTTCCAGCAGCCCAAGGCCAAGTGCCTAGGAGGACCCCAGACCCTACTAACCTAACACACCTTCTTGAGAAAGCCTGGCTGCCAGGATAACCGACACCTGATGACTGTAACAAATTTAACACTCTGGTGTAGAATTTGATAGTGGGGAAGGCTGTTATGTAGGGGTACTGGGTATAGGATATCTCTGTACCTTTCACTCAACTCTGCTATGAATCTGAAGCTCGTCCTAAAAACAACCATTTATTTATTTATGAGACCGAGTCTCACTCTTTTACCCAGGGTAGACTGCAGTGGCACGATCTCAGCTCACCGCAACCTCTGCCTCCCAGGTTCAAGCAATTGTCCTTCCTCAGTCTACCAAGTAGCTGGGATTAACAGGCGCCTGCCATCATGCCTGCCTAATTTTAGTATTTTTAGTAGAGATGGGGTTTCACCATGTTGGCCAGGCTGATCTCAAACTCCTGACCTCAAGTGATCCACCCACCTTGGCCTCCCAAAGGGCTGGGATTACAGGCGTGAGCCACCACACACTATCTATTTTTAAATTTTTTTTGAGACAGAGTTTCGCTCTTGTCGCCCAGGTTGGAGTGCAATGGCGTCATCTTGGCTCACTGCAACCTCCACCTCCCGGGTTCAAGCCATTCTCCTGCCTCAGCTTCCTGAGTAGCTGGGATTACAGGCATCCGCCACCACGCCCAGCTAATTTTTGTATTTTTAGTAGAGATGGGGTTTCACCACATTGGCCAGGCTGGTCTTGAACTCCTGACATCAAATGATCCACCCACCTCTGCCTCCCAAAGTGCTAAGATTATAGGCGTATGTCACTGTACCCGGCCTATTTTTTAAAATGAAGGCAAAATAAAGACATTTACAGATAAAGACAGAGAATTAACTGCTAACAAACTGGTCCTATAAGACATATTAAAAGGTGAAAACAAGATGGTAACTTAAATTCAGCATCATTTAAAATAAGAGTGCCAGAAATGACTAGCCAGCTGGCAAACAGAAAATACTGTATAAATACAGGCCAGGCGTGGTGGCTCACGCCTGTAATCCCAGCACTTTGGGAGGCTAAGGTGAGCAGATGCAAACAGAAAACACTGTATAAATACAGGCCAGGCGTGGTGGCTCACGCCTGTAAGCCCAGCACTTTGGGAGGCCAAGGTGAGCAGATGCAAACAGAAAACACTGTATAAATACAGGCCAGGCGTGGTGGCTCACGCCTGTAATCCCAGCACTTTGGGAGGCCAAGGTGAGCAGATTACCTGAGCTCAGCGTTTGAGACCAGCCTGGCCACCATGGCGAAATGTCATCTCTACCAAAAATACAAAATTAGCCGGGTGTTGTGGTGCTCGCCTGTGATCCCAACTACTCAGGAGGCTGAGACAGGAGAATCACTTGAACCCGGGAGGTGGAGGTTGAACTGAGCCAAGATCGCGCCACGGTACTCCAGCTTGGGTGACAGAGTGTGACTCTTGTTTCAAAAACAAAGAAAGAAAACACCGTATAAATATATTTTTCTCTTTTATTTGTTCTTATCTCCAGAAGTTATAAAGCTATATAAAGCAGTAATTGTATTATTGATTTACAACATATACAAATGTAATCATATATAGCATAATAATAGTACAAAGGAGGATGAAGGAAATGAGCTGCTGTGGAGCAGTGCTTGTATATTTTATTGGAATTAAGTCAGTAATCATCTGCAGTAGATTGTGATAAATTAAGACGGATATTGTGGCTGGGTGCAGTAGCTCACACTGTAATCCCAGCACTTTGGGAGGCTGAGGCAGGCAGATCACTTGAGGCCAGTTCAAGACCAGCCTGGTCAACATGGCAAAACACTGTCTCTACTAAAAATACAAAAATTAGCTGGGCGTGGTGGTACGCATCTGTACCCCAGCTACTTGGGAGGCCGAGGCAGGAGAATCATTTGAACCCAGGAAATAGAGGTTGCAGTAAGACAAGACTGCACCACTACACAGCAAGACTGTGTATCCAAAAAAAAAAAAAAAAAAGCATATTGTGGCTGGGTACAGTGGCTAAGTGTAATCTTGGCACTTTGGGAGCTCCTGGCAGGAGTATGATGGAGGCCAAGAGTTTGAGACCAGCTTGGGCAACATACGGAGATACTATCTCTACTAAAATTTAAAAAAATTAGCAGGTTATGGTGACACCCGCATAGGACACTATGGAGTCCCAGCTTACTTAGGAGGCAGGAAGGCAGGAGACTGCTTGAGCCTAGGAGTTTGAGGCTGCAGTGAGCTATGATGATGCCACCATATTCCAGCCTGTGTAATAGAGGACGACCCTGTCTCTAAGAAAAAAAGAGATCCATGTTGTATTTTAATTTTTGTTTCTTTTTGTTTTATTTTTTATACCAATATTCACAAGAGATGCATACTGTAATCCTTACAGCAGCCACTAAGGGAAAAAAAAAATCAATGGAAGAATTAAAATGGTACACTAAAAATTTTCTTTAATATTTAAAAAGGCCAATATTGACATATATAGGATAAAAACCCAAGGCCCAACTAAAAGATGTGAGACACACTTTAGATTCAAAGAAACTGCAAGCAAAAGGATAAGAAAATACACATACACACAGGAACCCAAGAAGGTGGAGTGGCCCTATAACAGATAAAATGGACTTTAAGGCAAGACCAGCACTTCATAATGATGAAAGGGGCAATATATCAGGGAGATACGACAATAATTCAACAACATCACCCCCAAAATGCATGAACCAAAACCAGGCAGAACTGAAAGGAGAGGGAAATA